TGTCTTGTACCAATATTTACGTGTTCAAATAAAATAAAATAATTTCACGTTTATTACCGTTCAAAGGAAGATTACTAGGACGTTATTTATGCACATCTTATCACCGATTCGAACAAGGCGGCTATTTTGTGGACAGAAATTTAGAAAATAAATGTGTATAACGAAGGTAGATGCTAGATTACCTTGATACTCAAAAGCTGGGACCTTTTGTTTTTCATATAGCTTGAATGCCTTATTACTATTTATTTGTTCGCTCTCTTTTTCGTTCACACCTTCCTTATTAAGTTGAATAAATTACTGAAGTTGAGATGTTACTCAAAGGGAAAGGGGTGACTATTTGATGCAACACACTTCTATAGGAGAAAGAATTATCCGCTGTCCCGTTTGTCAATTTATCTCAGGAATCTTCTTGTTAAACCTGCAGTAACCCTATAACTCTTATGTAAATATATTTTCATTTTTGGACAGCTCTTAATCATTCAGATAGGATGTGACTAATGAGCCATCCTGGTAATCTTATATTTGTTATAAATAGCATTGACCTTCAATACATGTACGTCCTTTTTCCGTGCTTAAGGTGTCCGAACCTTGCCTCACGTACTTCGGTTGTGAAAACCAGGGAAATTTATACTTTAAGTCAGAAAACATTAATGTACGGGTGGTTGGCCATTCTAACACACCTCAAATGGCTATGAAATTTTAGAGACCTACTCTAAAGTATATGTCGACAGATGTTGATACATAATATAACGAGATAGAGTAAAAAGTTCATTTACGGTAATTGATTCAGGATCGATGGTTCGCTCAAATCTAATTCTTTACATTTGCATTCATGTTTTTACCGCCTGTTTGCACAACTCTATCCCATTACTTGTAGATAAAGCTAAGATTATTGTCCCATCCTCTCATGTGAAGTGAAATAATAATAATAATTCCGTCCAATATATGTTTTGATCTCTTTCAATTTATTTCAACGCTCACTTTGTACAAAAATGCAATCACATAATAGAAATGGGCTTACAGTTAGTTTTAAAGTTGTATAATATACAAATTTCAATTTAACCCACTCTTATATAAGTGCAGATTCATATACTAAGCGTTAAGTTACAATCTGTCCCAAATGTAGGGATACTACCCTTGATAAAGCTTTCGAATATATACCATAGATACTAAAGGCAGAATTCAGTTTATTTATATCTTTGGATAGATGAAACGTGTTATCGACATATGAAAAAGCATACTTGTTTTGTAATCAATTGGTCACTTTCTTTAATTCGCTCTAATTTAGCAGCTATTTCGATTTAACAATTACTGAAAAGATCTCAGCCTCTTTGTTTTACACAATATGCTTACCTATCTTTCAGTATACTGATGTTCTTTTTGGATTTATATTGTTTTACAACTGCAGATAATTATTTTGGATTTACGTGTACCATGCACTCCAGTAGCTCGTTTAAACAATCACAGAGCATTTGTAAATGGATTAGCATGGGCACCACATTCAAGTTGTCATTTATGTACAGCATCTGAAGATTGTCAAGCTCTTATCTGGGATATTCAGTCTATGCCAAGAGCAATAGAAGATCCTATTCTAGCATATACAGCTGCCGGTGAAATTAATCAAATTCAATGGTCATCAACACAACCAGATTGGATAGCCATTTGTTATAATAATTCGTTAGAAATTTTACGAGTATAATATTTACTGTTTATTTCTTATTTTATCAACTGTTTTAAAGGTGTACTATAATTAAGATCAAATATTATTTCTTCTTTTATGCTTACTAAGTATTGTACGTTATTTTCATGCGTTTAGTTATTATTCTTTTCCAAATATTCTGGATAACTTAACTGTGTACTATTATCGAGATACATGTATTGGTTGAAGTCAAAGTTTCGACTACGTATGAATCAATTCCAAATGTTGTTTTGTACATTCACTTGAAAACATTTGTGTTTGTTTAATCAATTTATAAAATTCCTTAAGAATTACCATTATAAAACAGGAAGTTCTTCAATAATAGTTGTATTCAGCAAGATCTGTGAGACAGAAACAAATCGACATTTACTCGATTTTGGGAAAATGACAGACAAAATATAGTCGATGTAAGTTATCTTTATTGGGTAAGAAGATTCGACTCAAATTATGCTGTCTCTAGTAAATAGATGCTACCCTGTTATCTGCAATGTGCAAGAATATTTGTCCACAAAATACAGTTACGGCTGACTGTTGGGTTATATACTAGTATTTCTATAAACGCCGCAGCACTACACAAGTAACACAAACTTTAGTGAGTAGTAATGGAACACCAAAGGTGGTTAAACTGAGGTGAACGAATAACTCAACTATTTACTACAGTCAGTAGTTTAAATTAGATCCACATTTTATATTCGTACTTTGTTTTATTCAAAACATAGATTGAAGCGAGATTACTGTCGCAGTGATAAAATTAATATTATCCCTATGGTGTAAACGCGTTTGACTTCAGTGCATTATGTGAGACGGTGGAGAAGATTTGTAGCTCAGGTGGATGATTTTGGTGGAAGATTGTGCTGATGATGTCGTTCAGAAGAACGATGAAAGCTCCACGACCAAACCATCCAGCTCAGAGAACAAAACCCCACCAAAATTATGTTAGACGTTTGGAAGATAGCATATTAGTTTTTCTAATCATTTAGCAATGTTGTGTAAGGGGAGCTTTTCAACGGACAAAAAGACGGAGATATTTTTCCACAATTACATAATGTTTGCAAACGCTCATCTGCAAAAACTGCTCAATGTACGACAATCATACAATTCGCACTCAAACTACTTGCGATCATACCAAATGTTTCCAGTTTCAAGAAATTCCAGCTCTACTATTTCAATTTCTAAATATGTTATATATTCAGTACATAGTACCATAATAGTCTTCTGACTACTGTATAGAGCTGTAAAGTGTAGCAAGCCCATTCACATCAACCTTAATGTATTCTCCTATTGTTTGTAACATATAGGTAGTCAATAATTTATCCACACTAGATTGACACTCAAAAATGTATATGGATATTTAACTCACACACACACTCGTGGTTTCACAGTGTGTTTGCTCGCTGTAAGCTTGTGGATCTTATTTATCTTTAACAAAAAAATATCTCTACAACTGGTGTTCAGGCTTCTGAGTAATCTCGAGTAAATCCATAATCCTACTAGGAGATTTAGCGTACCTTAAATACTAAGTTAACGGGACATCATTTATTGGAGTTAGATATAGAGGAAACTAGCCCTCAACAAAAGTGAGAAAATCATAAGCTGATTGCACTTTAATCACTGTAACTGGTTGAAATAACATAAGATAGGAATTTAAAGCTTCATGTAGTTTTTCATGGGGAAATGACAAGGACTCAAATTAAATTACAGGAGAAAATATTCAGGTTGGAAATAAAATCGCTTACCAACACTGGCGAAAACATCTCTTCTGCCTTCGGAACGACTGGAAGCCTTATCATGTGCTTATACTTTGAAGTCATAACTTTGATCTCAAAATGTCTAATTGTAGACCGGAAAATAAATTTATTTGTTATTCTTCAAAACACATTACTCATGTTCCATATGACTCCGATGACCACAAATTTAGGGAGAACAATTCAGCATCAAGTAGTTAAAGTTATGCAGAAAAGGGGGATATCATAAGAGATCCAAAAAGTGAAATAATTGGCCGTAGTATGATGAAAGTAGATCCAGTCTGTATCTATTTTTATCCTTTAAAATCCACCCAGGACAACTGCAAGTCCGTAAGCAAAATATTTTCGGCTTGGATTTGCATTACTGTCTACTAATTCAGCAGTTAGGTAATTGTTTTTAAAGCGACTAGTTCATTATATATTGTCACTAATTATATACGACTAAGAGTTTCCTAACCTCACACTTAAATGCGCTGGTGTTCATGTAGTTCTTGATGATGTGAAACTCGAATAAAACAAACACTTCAGTATTTATGGTATGCTTGTTAGGATTCTGAAGTTCCAAAGTATTCTTGGAAATGCTTGATTATAAACATAAAAACGCGCTGTTCCAGAATGTAAAATCAAAATCTACATTAATTTGAAATATATAACAGTTTGAACCGAGGAAATAAATCTTAAGTTGTTGATACTCAGTTTCCATGGTGCCAGTTTCGGTAGCAAGTCAGTATTAGTCAAAGAAGTACGGAGTATTTGAAGCCGCTTCATCGCATTCTCAGATTCCTGGTATCCAACGTCTTTCCGAGTAATTGGTTCGGTAAACAGTCTCTTTGTTGAATACTAATGAGTTGTCTCAGGAGAAAATCTAACCGCTCACCATATTATCTGGCGTACGAATGGGTTGGAAGAAAATTTAGGGCGGCCAAATCAAGTCGTGATATCAATCCATGATGTCACTGACAATTTGACTAAGGTTCGTTAGTAGACCCAGATCTTTTTGAATGGATTCTAGTTAATAACTGTCATCGGTAATTGGAGATGTTCAGTTCAGAATTAGTCACAGTGACGCAGATGCATTTAGACTTTATCTTCCGCTACGTTTTGAGTTTTATTATTATTTCGTACACTTTATTCCTCAAACTCATTCTTATCCTTCGAATAGCAACCTCCAATATTTAGTGTTTCTTAGTATAATCGGTACTGATGTATATTTTTTGAATTATCATTCCTCTTCCCGTGTTGATGTGCTATGGCTTCTTGGGCTGATGCACATTTCTGTCAGATTTGTATGGTGATGAAAACTGATTTAAATAAGTGGTATGTCAATTTTAAATCAAGAACTATTGAAACTCACCTTCAGTTAAATTAATTTTGTTAAAGATTTCAATGAAACTAATTTTATAAATAATACTCAAAACATTGAGAAATAAACAGAAATAGTTTGATGATTAACTATGAAAGTTTATTTTAGGAAGTTTTATACAATGAATAAATAAAAAACCGAGATTTCACATTTTATCCAATGTTCCGGTTATAGTATATACACATTCTAACTATTTTTCACAGGTAAATATGATTTTAAAAAAGGTGAATAGTTATCCTTGTAATTTTATTATTAAGGACTTAACTCTTGGAAAAACTGATAAAAATTCATTTCTGACTTGATATGATTCCCAAAAATTTGTCAAATGGCGTAAACAGGAATTAGATTTCATAAATACACGAATCTATAAGATAAAGGTATTATATATATATATATATATATTGTAAAATTTCTATATGACAATTAAGATCAATGTATACAAGAAAATACCTCCCAAAAGTACCGTATTACTGTTACAACTGAAAGTTGTAATACTGGAAAGCACTCCAGTCTCTATGATTCATATAAGAACATCGAAACCGATTGAAGGTGAAAATCTATTTCATTCACCAAAACACGTTAACAGTTGCTGTAACAGTGGATAATTGGGACTGATTATTTGAACCTGTGAATCGCATGACCCAAATAAGAACATAGAGATTTTAGACGAGGATTTATTTGACATACATTTTGTAGAGTGAAACAGATCTTCGTCTGCAATCAGTTTTCGTATTCTACTGTTGGTGGTGGAGATCGCAGTGATTTCCGGTACCAAACACTACAAGTTATTCCCAGTTGCAATGACTATCTGTAGCTATCATTTTCATTTCCTTCTTTTTAGTCTTGTGGGTTTATTTTCATATCGCCGATGTGAAAGTGTAGTACGGTGAATCAATAAACAAACATTTGTCTTAGTTTATGATGTGTTTAACTTTCAAGTCCAGCTGATGTCCATTTGGCACCTTTATGAGCTGTCTATTTTTGGTAAGTTAGTCAATACTACTAGTTGTTTGAAGTTAGTTTTGATCAGCGGTGAAATGGTTTATACTCTAGTAAAAACACGTCAGAAAAAACTTACCTTATTCGAATTACGTAGCAGGAGGTGGCTGGGTTCAGGCTTGTAACCTGATGGTTGGGAGGTGGACACCTTAATTGCTGAGTCACCACTATACAAGTACACTAGTAAAAGTTCGTTAATGCAATATAAGTATAAATAATAGTTTGACAGACTTCATAACAAGTCTAGTAAATTTACTAAAGATGCTTTGAGTGTATCACATTCCAATATTTAGAAAAGTAAATAATGAAACGTTCAATATTTTTCTAAAACGAATGAATTCTTAATTTGTATAGGTAATAATGTAAATAATTGGCAACTACTGTATGGAAATTAGAGTTCGGATTTTTAGTAGGTAATATACACACACCAGACAGAAAGCGATGAAAAAACTATTAGCATTTCGAAAATGGATCGATGAGAGAGGAGAGTTACGACCGCCTGAGTTTCTGAAACTTGTACACAGTTTGAACTTAATTGTCAATGTAGCGTATTAAAGTGAGAACTAAAACAATGAAATGGAACTCACTTTTTTACTGTTATGAATCGCAGCTTCAATAGCACTAAGTACAACTCTAATAGAATACAATGAATTCGTGTCCAAATGAGAATCCAATAATATATCACGAAAACAATTGATAACGTTCAAGTCTGAATAAAAATGTATAAACACGTAGCATTCGCGGTTATTTTAGAAAATATATGATGACTGTGAATACATAAAATAAATAAATACTCCGATATCACGCTGGTCCAATAAATATTAGCATTCGACTTCAAAGTCATTTGTACTTTATTTATCGAATTATATAGATTGATAACTGATATTCATTTTAAGACAACCATTTAGAGAATTCGAAACGAATCAAAATGAGACTTATCTCATAAAAGAAATCACAGGAAATGGGCGTAAATCACTTTAAATAACTGGTAGATATATGTTAGATATGTATATAACATGGAACAAGTGATATGGAGTAGTGGAGAAAACTATCAACGACAGATACACAAGGAACTATTCGAAGCAATTCACTTAAGATACCGTTAAGATCTGATATTTAGTAAATGAAAATCATTACAAGAAAGTGAGAAGTAAAGATATTACACATAACCAAAGGGTTAGAATTTAACTACAGTATCTCCAAATAGTTCGAGATAATCTCTACTTAAATATTCGTTCTCTCGACCATAACTGCTAGCTTTGATGGATTGATCGGGGGTTGGCTATCTTAATAACTCGATCGAGCTATATTAGCTATATTAATTTTTCCTTTAGGTACTACCACGCAAGAGAGGTTTGATGCAAAATGATAAAACTATAAGCAGGAACTTTAAGTCCGAGAGTAACGTCGTGCAACTGATTAAAATTGGGTTCGACAACAAATGTTTCAGATAACGACCGTTTACAGCAATAATGTCTCCTCACAATGAAAGGAAGGAGTTATAAAAGGTTGACCCTAAAAATGTGAAACTATTTAACCCCACAGACTTTCTTTATAGTGTAGAACAAACACATCCAAAACTTCTCGCTAAAGTTGTGTGTGGTCGTCTTAGAGCAGTTACTTCATGGCTTCTGCACTCACGCTCCCAGCTCACTACGAACATTACTAATACAGACCTCTTTCCAAGTTCCTCAGAAAAAACTATTCACAATGTAGGCAAATGAAAAGTAATTACAGCCGTCTTGACCAACGCTCAAAATCACCCACTATTGTTGTTCTGAATAATATCATCAGTGCCTGTATGAAACAAAGCTCTGTATTGTGGATGAGATAGTTTTCTTAGAAGTACATGTAAAAACACAGGATATATATACATATATATATATATATATATATATATATATATATATATATATATATATATATATATATATATATCAAACGAAGACTAACTTGCAGTTAATAATTTCGATTTCAAAATACTGTCTGTGCATAAATTCCGCAAGATTACTAAAGCTGTCTCACGATTATCAGGTTTACAATGATTTATACAATTGATCAAAATTGTGGGTAAATCTGAAAGAAATGTAAATGTTTTATACAAAAAAAATAAGTGCGAGACATTACTGTTATCATTCATACAAAACTTACCGATTTAAATAAAATTATTAAGCACTATTGTACTCCGTAGTGTGAGTTATTTGTTAAGCCCATATACTTTACTCTAACTTTCAGACAGCCCAATCTATTCATTCATATTTTGACCTTGTTAATTATTCGCTTATCAGTCTTGACTGTTTTTATATGAGCGTATATGTGTGTACACTTCATAACCCATGTCTCATTACATGTCTGTAGTTTATTTTGTCTGCCTATAAATATTGAATAACGCCTGGCTAAAAATGAGTTGGCTTGCCAGTCATCTCCCTTGCTCGTCATTTTGCTTTGTTCTATTACATTCACTTTACATACAAAATATATGTATTCAAGGTCCATTCTTGTCAATTGAATTATCAAAATTCCGTTATTGACTAACGCGATTTAAGTCGATGATTGTATACGACGATCTAATTGGAGTCAGATCCACGGGCCACTAAAACTCCATAATGTTGATTTTACCAATCCAATCCAATCCAATCAATCATTTTACAATCATGATGGAAGTGTTTTACACTAAGTCACGAGACGTCAGAAATTCAAATTTCTATTCATTAAGATGTCACAAATATATCGTCTTATTACTAACTTTCTATCTAATGCTCGATTTATTTAAAATTATTAAGTCCAACTTTACTTGGTATTGGTACGTACAATCATTCCACGTTCGACAGATAAATTAATTATTCGTACCAGTTTGACAAATGAAATCTTATCATAGCTTATGTAATCCGATAATCAGATCATTTATATTTTGGGTTTTAATTATAACCACGTCAAGAGGCAATATGAATAAATCAAAATTATTGTAAAACACATGCTTCTGGATGATCGGTGAAACATTGAAGAAAAATAATAATTAAGCATTTACAAATTAGTCGTTATTTTGTTATCATAACAAATAGTAACAGGAAATGTAAGCTGCTAATTATTGTCCAACAATAACTGCAAAAACTCATCTAATTGTAATAAATAAGTATTGGTTTAGTTTACTTATGATTTTTAATCGGGTCTGTAATATCATATGTAAAAGTGATGAGTACATTATTATCTATTGAATGTATACAACAACAAAAAAGTTAACTACACTGTTTGAGGAACATGAAACATGTTATGTCCCACAGAATAATGGGAAATGGTATTGGAACATCGGAAACATCGGATTTACAGTAAAAAGATAGTTTAACATTTCACTTCTAAAATGCCACGTCATATATAAGAAAGATAATAACAAATTCGCTTACTCGGTTGATTAAATAGTATATGTTGTCCATCTTTAGTGAATGATATATTAAGGATCAATTGTAGCCAAAGGGTGAGTATAAAATGTCCACGACGACTTTTGATCAGTGTACGTGGGTTCAATTCTGATATGTGATTAAGGATTTTAGACTAAAAATAAAGAATAAATGCATCATGAATAATAAAATCAAAATAGTGACAAGTTAATTGGTTGATAGTCCAAAGAGATCATGGTTCAATGTAGGTTCAAGGTACCTTTTATGATTGTAGGTACTGAGTGGTAGGTCCGAAACCGAAACGAAACACCTGCTCAACTACTTTCCAGCTGAAACCATTTCAGAATAGTAATAATTGTTTAATATTGACTGAATTATGAGCGATAATGTTTTCTCTTCAATCAACATATCTTAATAATACTAAGAAGGAATAAAGTTCAAACATTTATAAATGTCGAACTTGAATTTCTGTCTGGTGTTAACAAAATGATAATCAAAATATCTTAGCTTACTTGACCTACCTTTTATCATAGCGTATTAAAATGAAGCCTTTTTGATGTGGTATTTTTGTAGTTTCTAAAGATAAACTACAGAATCTTCCATCATTTGGCATATTGTTTACAACAAGTCTGTGGAAGAGACTTACGTACCTGTGTCAGTTAATAATTTTTTTGTTTAAAATCTAGACGTTTTTGAACTTATTCAAACAGGACTATTTTTTCACGAAGCTGCATTTGTAATTATTCAATTACATTTAAACCTAAAATAATACACATCTTATCGAAAACAACTTGTGAGGTTCAATCATATTGATTGTGATAGTTTCATCTTCTTTCGGTGTAAAAAATCAAAATTTATAAACGAAGCAATAATTTTATTTTTATTTGTTATACACCAATTTCAATAGTGTGTTGTACGAAAGCAACAAATAATGGCGACGTCGTGCAGAATGTTGATGAGACATTTACGACTAAGTATCAAGATCCAAAAAAGTCAAACAAAATTATCAAGACATTGAGCAAATATTCTTCTACTATATCGAAACCATGAATTACAAGTCTTAAAGCAACTACAATTCTTTTAGACTACTGAATCGAAATCCAATTTCACAGATTTTCCATTTTCACTTTAAATTCAATATATTTGTATTATCATCTGGTGTCAGCGGTGTGGATAACTTTGTAGTGAACGAGAACTCAACTGGGGAAAACCAGTTTATTCTTTAATGCAGAATTACAGAAATGTGAAAACCATACATTAAATGCATGATTTTCACACCTTATTTCAGTTATCCTGTACGTGTTTTATGATTCTTTCAATTCTGTTTTTAGTACAATTGCTCGGTATTTCTCTTCCTATTCTCTTCAATTTAATTTTTTGCTAGCAGGCATTCCACTTCCGATTGACGCTACATACTAGCTAAGTCTGTCAGCATAAGTAGCATGCACCGAAATTAAAGCATCACCAAATATTAGTTTTGAATCTATCAAAGAGTCTAATTATATGGCTGAGATACACGCGAAATCGAAGTTCGTAAAACAGCGATTTATCTAAAAAGCGTTTCTTTATTGAGTAATATACATAAATTAGTTACAAATCTCATTTCGTGGGGTGCCTGTGGCGCTTAGCATGTCTTTAAATATGAAAGAAAACGGGATTCTTGCAATAGTAACATAAAGAATAATAATGACATACGATAGTGCGAGCGACAGCTGATAGCTGTGTCTAATGTAGATAACAGTTTTTCAACAAGCAAGAACGGAACCAAGATCAAACAAATATTGAAATCAGTTTAGGTGTTGTGGAGATTGTTACGTTTTTAACTGAGATCATGAACCGATTGATGTTAGACCAGCATTCGTCCAATAGGACGAAACGGCGGTCCAGTGCTTCCCAGGTTTTCAATGGTGGTCTAACATCAATCGGTTCATGATCTCAGTCAAAAAAATATGGAAATTATTGCGTTTAAACAAAGATAAAGTAACTACATACAGCCGTGAATAACCGCTACAGGGATTGAAAGAACGTAATTCTAATGACAAACAATAAATGTTATTAATATATGTATATATCTTAGAATATCACACGAAAAAACGCGTAGAAATTGCTAAGATTACAATTATTTACTGAACATTAATAAGTAGTATAAAACAATAAACAAAAAGAGTCGACGGGAAAGGAGTAAGGACAGAGAACGTAAACAAACTTAACAATCAGTAAAACAAAAAATGTAATATATTAAGCAAACACATTCAAAGAACAGTAGCTTTCAGGCTCCTGATAAGTAGCGTCCTGCAGCGATTTGCTTTTAACCTAATAAATATTATGATTTAAAATAGATCGATTGGTATTTTAACTGATAATTTTAAGGTCTTAAATATTTATAAATATGTAACAAAAAGATTCATCGTTGTTTTAAAGCTATGCCCTATATATTATAAAGCAAGTTACCTATATGCTATAATATCCTTGTGTAATATGAATAACTAATAAAAATGTAAAGATGAAAAATTCAGTATGAAATATAAGTAAAAACTTACTTTTAATAAAAAGGATCTTGTCTCTGGTGCCCATACCATATTAGCTAATAATTGAAAGATTAACTTATATATATCTTCTTGATGTGTACTTGTACTTTGTTTATTACCCATAATATTGGTACAACAATTAAATTGATATGTTTTGCTAATGTTTCCTGATGTGTTTGTATTACATTTTTTATTTGATTCGGTTAATATGAATTGATTGTAAGTTGGAATTAAATTACATAGTGATTGAATAAAAGAACTATTTATTGTCAAGGAATTCGATGCATTGAATAGTATAATGGAAGCTTCTTTTTTGTGCACAGATGTTATGAAGAGTAAAAAAAGGTTCAAAGAAAACATCATTAAGTATATCATAAAATTAGCATTAAAGATATAACATTTTGGCAAATTTTATTCAAATTGAGGATTGATAACTGTACTAAACCTAATTTCGATTAATGATATATCAAAATGATGAATAGTTTTGGACCGTAAAAAGAATAGTTTAACTGCCTGATTTGATGAATGATTTGAATGGTTGAGATATTGAATTTTTTAGCCAAGTTCTACATTTCCAAAAACCTTTGATAATTAAATCACAAATAAAAACGAAATGAGAAAATCTGAAAGATCACTTATTCCCAAAAGAGTTTCGTTTTCGCTAATCATTGAGTATTTCATCAGGTTTACAGTGAACTTGTAATTCCATAATCTTACAGGAAAGATATTGAAATTTATACTGAATTCAAGACTTGACGAGCTAGATTAAAAATTATGATGAGTTTATAGAATTATCTAAGAAATCATTTAAAACACTAATGGGCTAGAAATACTCTTGGCCACTTTCAGGCTTTTGCAGAAGCTTTTAAAATCAATATGACAACTGTTTCATAAGACTTTAAATAATTCATCTAGAAATGAAGATTAAATATGTATCATTTTATTTAAAGTAAATGGAAGTGACATCTATCATCCTTGTAGTTTTGAAGGGCGGCCTGCTTGAGCATCTGGGCTACCTGTTCTTGCCATCTAGATATTTCAACAAGTTATCTATTTTTGTTTGTTTTAATATATCATTATATTTATTAGTCGCATGACCTATTCTGTTGCGTTTCTGAAAAGTGTACAACCTTTCGTTGTCAAAGTTACAAAAAACTCAATAAGAGACAATGTAGTTGCTGGTAATATACAGCGAAAAGAATGCACATTATCCAGATGTTCATTTACTGAACTGCTAACATCTAACTGGCGATCACTCAATATTTATCGCCAGGACCGACCAAGAAAAAAGAAACGGAAACTTGTTGAAATACTTTACGCTGAGAATTCTATATTGTACCAAAAATATAATATTGAATAAAGCTAATAATAATAATAATAATAATAATAATAATAATTTGATGTTTTCATCTGTCATATTCACTAGAATAATACATCCGAGTTCGATTCAAGTCATAGACTATCTTGATTTTCCCAGAATATTTATATATGAATATATATTTTAATAATGAATAGTTTAACAATGAATAATAACTAGCTGATGTTAGAAATAACTCATATTAAAAGAGTTAAGCTCAGTAACAAATGTCAATTCTCGTCACAAACAATCCATCGGTTATTTAACGATTGAACAATAAGGGACAAGGAAAGAGGTTATGCGATAACATAATAGTTACTTACGTATATTACAGCTGTAATACACAAATCTCACAGTATTTATACTAGACATACATTAAATGCATGTACGATAATAAATTGTACTCTCAGTTCATTCAAAATCGAACAAGTCTATTCTCTTCGTCATTCCTTTCCAAACAATTCATTTAAGAAAAAAACACTTATGATCAATGTCAATGGGCAGAAAATATTAAGCTATTTATACTGTACAACTTCATTATTTGAAGCCAAAGCTGTTTGGCTACATTTTATTCACTTCAAGCAACTTATAAGTATGCTTCGAATAAAATTGGAATGCGATATAGTTTTAGAAAAAAGGGAAATTTTATTTCATGTGATTTCAAATCAGTAATCAGCATTAGTCAATATTAGCTGAGGGAGATGTTAGGTAAACTGAGTAAAAAGCTATTCACTTAAGTCTCCCTCCGGAAAAAGATAAAATAACGGTGATAGAAAGTAAAAAAATTCAGTGGTAAATAAAGATACTCACTGAAGATTGTATTAGTGTTATCATATTTGATGAGAAATCTAGAATAATTTGTTTTAACATTGAATACCTCAACAATACATTACTATTTCTTGATAAACTATTGTTTTCATATTTGCACATAACCATATGGTCTATGAGAAGCTTTAGGTTACAATCGTATGAACCTTCTTTGTAAACAACGGAAATTAGATTAGTGTACAAACTACATTTGAACACAAGATCAAAGTGCTTAAAAGATGAATCCATAAAAATGTACCAAAATTTATTTAGAAATAAAGAAATGAAATGTCATATATTCAACTCATTAAATGATCAAATACACTGCTATACCGTCTGTTTTAGATATGTCCCCTTGAATGTTACTTGAGCCTGCAGTCTGATTCGATTGAGAAATTATGTATGGATTAACTTTAATTGTACTTGGAGGATTAACCAAAACTGAAGAAGCTCGTGGACAATCAGCTGTTAAATTAGTAAGTAGACCAAGTATTGTACGTAGGATTCGTAAATCTTGCAAAGCCAAAGGCCAAATACATATAATCACCTGTAAGACAGATAATAACAAATGCGTTCGTGCACTGGATTCTATATGAACCATTTGTGAACGACATGGTGAATTAACACCATTTGTAGACTAATTCAATACAAAGTAAAACTGGAAAGGTATACTAACATTTGAATGTGCACAAAACCTGAACAAGGAAGATGTGAAAGTTGAAAAGCCGGGAAAACTCTAGTTACATCGATTCGATATTTAAAGACTGGAGAGATTTTACAAACCACCATCTAACTCGACGTCCAATGTTAAGTGGTGTAAGAGGAAGTTGAGAAAAGCAAAAGGCGGTCAAGATAAGACGTTTCATCAGATGACAAAGATACTGAATGTTGGGCTGAGCTACATTGGTCGATTTAGACTTCCTGATTAGGGTCTGTATGATAAACGCGACCATTGTTTGACGATGTTTGGTGATATGGCTCGAAATCAGTCACAATGGAGAAGATTCATCCAGTCTTTATCTGAATCTAGATCCTGAGCTCCAATATTTCTTTATAAATACTCTTTAATTCTATCTTTTGCGAACTATATTTTCAGTGCCCAGTTCTTCTTCTTATCGTTGCTAATATATCATTCCGACTCCTTTATTATTTACCTTGTTAATTTCATTTCGTTTTGCTGTGGTATAGTTACTTGAGCAAGCGCATATATATGCAAGTTTCTACGTTAATTTTGCCTGGGTGAATGACTAAGATTTTACTAAACACAATGAATCTAGTTGATGGAAAATATTTTTTAAAAAGCCTCAAAGAATCAAACAATATTCAAAATAATAAACGACAAATTATATAGCCAATCAAAACTACTAACATTCAAACTGTCAATGTAGAGATACAAATAGTCATTCTTATGGCTGCCAATATCACTGTTAAAAAATAATTCCATGAATTTAACGGATGTTTCCTCGTAATAAGTAAATTAATAAAGTTATTTCAATTCGATCGCAACCATTATTCAAAATTATATGTTGCTGATGATTTAACATCAGACATGTACAGCAAAAACCTCATGAGATATGTTGAAGCGATCTAATTGTGTAAATATTTAAATAAATGTTACTGGTTAAGATCCGTTTTAACTGACTAATTATATTCATCGCATGTATTCATGAGCCTTTATAAAAAAAAGTCGTCAAAAGTAATGCAAAGTTAATTACCGAAACGTCTAGATAACTGAATGTGAAGTTGATGAAACACAAATAATGCCTGTACCATGTTCCCATCAGAAATATGATATAAGACAAACTTGAAGAGATCAAAATACTTCAACAAGATTTTGGTCAGCGCAGAAGAATTGTTGACAGCAGAAGTGCTGTATATATGGAATAATCAGAACACATTGAATAGAAAAGATGTAACTCAATAAGCCACACCTTGGCAACTACCTATTAACAAGTAATTTGCACCTTATTTTGATTCACAGGTGGCTTTATTTTAACAAAAAAATAATTTTGATGTTTTAACATCATAACTATGCATTTGATGTGTCTCGTTTTGAATACACCTTGACGTTCTAAAAAACGTTTTAGTTGTACTAACATTTTTAATAAACAAAATGATCAATGTGTTTGCTGGTAAACAGAGACTGAATTAATTTACTAAATTGTAATTATTAATAATATAAAGATATACATATCCATTTTTTTCGTATTGTAAACTTGTTACATCATTCACATGTTACTGACTTACGTTTCCCTACACAACAAAATCAACCTTCGAATATCATTGAATAAACTTCTAATGCAAATTTGTTTATTAAACATTCATTGATATTTTTTATTTCTATCATGAATAACCTGAAGAATTTCAGACAAGACTGCTGAATGAAACGTTAAAATTACTTTAATTTCAATCGCTGAGATGATATTAAATATAATTTTTATACATCATGTTGAATACTTTGTTATACATATTTTTGAGCATTAATAAGCTAAATGTATATATGATAAGAATTCGTGCATAGAATTCTTAACTCCAACGAATGGGAGTGAATAAAGGTATTCTTATTATTGCATGGTTTATCACTTAGGTGTGACAGTTATTTACTGATATATGATTCATTTTACTTAAATAATCGCTTTTCTATTACGTGTACTTGCAACTTAATTGTATGAGTGGATTAACGTAAATAAGTGGTAGATACGTTACAACTATGAGTTTCGAATTATTTCGGTTATTAAGGCATAAACGAAATCAATAAATCATAGACTGGCTTTAATGTAGTGAAAATATGAATTTGCGAAGAAATTTATGATTCGTTTATAATATAAACTTTAAAAACTTGAGATCATTTTAATTCGAATGAAAATTTCGTAAAGGATTACAAACATTGATCTTACTTGAATAATTCCTGATTCTATAGCACGCATTCTAGCCTCCGGACACATGTAAACAAGATTATGTAATATTTCTAAATTTGCGATCATTTCATCCGAAAGTTTTAGCCATGTAGTTACTGTTTGATGTCGACGCTCAGCTTTTTGATCTATAGATACTCTACTTGATAAAGATTGTTTCGAATCACAAGAAGCTGATCTGTCAGATTCTGAATTTACATGAATATTAGTACAACATAGTTCCATTTTTGCTCGAAGAAGTTGCAATTTAGCAATCGACTCTTCTAGAAAGCCATCTAAATTGAACAGAAACGAAACAAACTGGCATTATATATCACAAACAAACAAACACACACAACAGCATAGTATTTGATATGAAATCAAATTACATACACCGCACATCATCATAAAAATGCGTCGATGATAGTGGATTGAGTAAACTAAGGTATCGTTATTCATGAATTGTTATGAAATATAGTGATGAACAAAATGATTGACAAAGAAGTAAGAAATGAATTTTCAGTGGTTGTTTGAATCTTTGCGTCCAACTCTGCTGAAAGTAAAAAATGTTAAGTCCCTCTGCTCAACATATATATATATATATATATCCAAACTACCTAAGGGATTGGAAGCTCATAGCCTTATCAACTGAGTTATCACCTGTAACTAGTACCTCGCGCACAACCACAGAATAACTCACTCAGAGGATCCACCACACACTACCAATGCCTCACAGTTATCCATGACAAGATATTTTCAGTTTGTAAATGTCTTATGCTATTTAAATTCATTTTTCAGAGAAGCAGTATAATATAAAGCATATAGCTATGTACTATATTCAACCCTTGATAGAAAAAAGAATGCCTCATTTGTACCACGAGTGAAAAAGCTTGACAAACAGCAATCAGGCATTTCACATTTAAATTGTGATTTTATCAGTTGCTAACACACTAGAGTAAGCAGTACAGAATAGATAGGACACTTATATTGCCACTTCATCTACTAACAGAAACTAGTCAAGAAATGTCCTCTAATTGAAAGGGAAGATATGTGTAACACGTATTTTTTCAATGATAGTTCTCATGTTTAAAGGATTCACAGTTATTAACTTATCTTCATCAGATAGAACCATGTCACCTACGCACTGCAAGTTGATGAGTGAGTTTTCAAGTTGACATCAATTTGGAAAACTCTAAGTGAGGGAACGAAAATAAAAATTGTTACATACTTTTTCGATCGACAGAGTTTAACATCGACTGACGGTCGAAAAATACAACTGTAATCGAACGGAAGTAGATATAATTAGGTGAAAGAAGTCGAAAAATAAAAATATTTCCAATACGTTGGCTCTATAAACGATATCAGTATCAGTTTAGGGAAGAATATGAATTACAAAGTTTATTTGATTGCGAATAAGTATACAGTCAAAATTAATGAAAGAAATAATAGAGTGATGTTTACAATTTTAGGAAACGCTATCAGTGACCCATAAACAGTAACATTACAAACGCAAACAATAGCCGATCATAGTTTTTATATTAAACCAAAACAGTGTTACATAAATATGTGGAAATAATAAAGAACATCTCATTAAACAAATTAGTAACCAAGTAAACTTATATCGGATTACCTTCAAGAGCAGTTATTTTGATTGCATGACAGATTCCAATTAGAGTACGTAAGGCATTATCAATAGCTTTTCTATAGTTAATTATAACTGTTATTGAGTTATGACTTGATAATCTAGGTGATGTTCCATCCTGTGAAAAACAATGACTGGAATTCGATAACTGAACTAAACGTCTAGTGAGATAAATAATATCATTCAGTGATTTATCAGAACTTGGATGTTTTGATTTAATCGTATCCAGCGTGTATTCTTTCTCTAGACGATTAAGTACAGGATTCAAAGGAACAGGACGTTGATGTGACATAATAACCACCAGCAATTGTAATGCTATACGAGCGTGAGCACAGAATCTTTAATTATGAACAAATAAACACAACAAGCATATTATTAGGTGACAACAATTTATGGTAATGATGTAACCGAGTACGAAAGATAAATAGTATGATATTACCATCTTAAACACACTGATTAATTCCATTCGACAGTTATAAGAACTGTATAATCTTAAGATATCTTCCATACTGGATAGCAGTAATTTAGTATATTCGAACAACAGTAAGCGATAGTCTCAAACAAATACAATCCTAGGAAAAGTGTGGACAGCCAACCTTACTACATAATTTAGTGCAGAATGCTATGTTTTGTGAAACGAAGTTGGGAAATCTGGATTTGCTGCACAACTTATTGTTATATCTCAATAAGAATAATGAATGGTAGTTTTTGGGATCCGTTTGTGGACCAATACTATGAGTATATTTTTATCGTATAATTGTCATGTAACTAAACTGTTCATATTCATGTCCCTCTCATTATGAGTTTTATTTTGCCTTATGAACTATTATTATACGATTTACCAGTCTTGAGTTATGGCCTGTCTGTTAATCACTACCTCCCTCATTCACAGCCACTTTTGGCCAAATATTGTACAAATGTTATTTTCTATTTCATGGTACGTTGTGGTCTGTCTGGTTGATATATAAACCGAGTATGTTTGAAATAAATGATTCATATTGCAGAGGCTGAGATTGGTGTTCTGGACTTAACTGGCTAGGCTAGGCGGGAAGCGAGACCAAATCACGACTCTAGGCTGCTCGCACGTGTTTTATGCGTCACTGGTAAAGCGTTTTCGGGTTCTACATTAGACTAATCAATTTGGTATAGAATGGAGACGCACTATGATAATAAAATAATCTACTATATCACTGAACATCAATCAGTTTTCTATCTCACTTCCAGATTAATTTGAACACTAAATTATCTGGAAAACTATAGTTCTTTTGAGAAGGAGGAATAGTATTATATGGTTTATACGGTGATTGTCTGATGATACTAGTGAAAAGTTGTCATCACTATTATTACCACCTTTTCGTGAACGATTCTTAATGGATGAAACTTTAGTTTATTGTTGAGTAAATTAGATCCTCTTATTGTCTCTATCAAGGATCATATTAGCTAGGTTCAATCTATTAGAATGTAAGTCTAGTTAATATACATTAATCTATATACATAAAAAAGACTTTATGAACTTAAGGTGGGTTTATTTAGTTGAAATTAACACTGGCTACATTGCGACTTAGCCGATGGAATTCGATCAGTTCTAAGGGCCAAACATGACAATGAATATTACTCAAGGACTAACCAGTTCTATAGTAGGTCCACTGTACCTGTAATATCATTTCTAAGATCTGTGTTTTTAATACCAGATGACAAATTCACGAGGAACATTAGTTTTCACGATATCATAGATACGCTGTCATGAAAATTACCAATCACTATAAGACCTTAATCTAGAATTTCCCATTAATTTTCCTCTAATCATGTAACATTAAGCACAGAAACAATCTAAGATTGAGTCAATTAAACTAGTGACCAAAAAACGATTTGAATGATAGAATTTAATCGCGCTATATAATAAATAATACAACCATAGTTACTGTTAGCTATTTAATAAGTCTCAGTATATTAAACAATATAAGACTATGTTTCAATATTTTTTTGCTTGCACCCTAAATATTAACAAAAATATATAAACGAAGCTTTGATGAAAAGCATACTCACTTTATAGAATGACGATATTTACATTCTTTAGATATTTCTAATTCAGCTCTATCAATAAATGTGAGAATAATATCCATGAAGTTAGGTAGCACATTAGCTAAAGGTTTTAAAATTAAGCGTAAATTTAAGCCTTTTGTTTCTTCATTGTTCGAATAAATTAACAAACAGGTTAAAAGTGAAAAAATTTCTTGCCACAAAGGAGCCATAAGATCAATGTAGCCTAACAAAATAAAAGAGGAAAGTAATGTAAGTTTAAGATTTAAATGCAATGAAAAATAAACACAAAATCAAACTACACCGGTCAATTACTGAGTTCGTCTAGTCTTTCTATGCGAGTCGAATTTCGCCAATCAATTTACAATTCGTTTACTAATTCAAGTGACTGGATATTGTGAACCTAAGCTTTTGCTAATGAGCACTCGTCTGAAAGTTGTACCTGTAATCTTGAGGAAACTGATGCTGTCCGATTCAATTAGACGAGTGGCTTCATTGAAAATTGATCGATATACTTCGGTCAACATTAGAGATTAGATAAAAATAACACTGGTCATATGACATGAATTAGTGATCAGTCAGTGTAAATATCCAACTCCTGTAATAGGTCGGCTGCAGCCCAAATAGCTAAGTGTTAACATATTGGACTATTAAGCTGGATTATGCATGTTCGAGACCAACAGAGAGCATCAGTTTCCTCAAACTTCCAGACATGTCATCACTAACTAGAACAAAACCTAGACATAATGTTTTTTGTCAATTACTCTCAAAAATAATCTAATAATCCGACTGTTCAAGAATGTTAGAACTAATAAAATGACAAACCAAGTTCATGAATAAGGGTTTACCAACTATAGGATTAAGAGTGGGATTAATTGATTTATCAGTCACTAAATAAACGTGATTACGAATACCCGTTTTTATAACGTGTTCAAATTTACTGACTGATACAAGGACGGTATACCTTTTAATATTCTTGGTAAATAAAGTTAGTAAATGAATAAGATGTATACTTACTTATTGGAATAGTTAAAATTATAATTATTCGTGTTAAAAAAAGAGAGTCAGAAATGAGATTCATACGACATTCTTCATTCATTGCTGCTTGGCAACGTAAAATATGTATACAACTGGCATAACATTGAATTAATTGGTTGCATGAGCTTTTTGAAATGAACGATCTAGCTAGATCGCAGTTTATATTTTTGTTATTAATAATAGAATAAGAAATAGTACTTTGTTGAATAGCACATTGTAACAAATCTGAAAAAAGAGAAATGAATATTTTGGAATTCCAATTAAATGCTTAGTAGACGAGAGAAAAATTAAATGAAGTACACTACTATCAGTAGCAGCAACCGTCTGAAATTTTATTCGGTTGAGTATTTAAAAATTCATATAAAGAATCGGCCGTCTACAATTACATAATAATTTATTCACAATATTGTTGGCTTGCTACAATTAAGGACTTTTAACTTGGAAGTTAAAAGTTAGAATACAACTTCAGTTCAAATTTTTTTTCAGTTCGAAGAGTAGTTTCCTCATGCAACGAAAAAACCTTATGTCTAGATGGTGTGAAGTGAATTTCAAAATATTTTAAGGACATGTTTTATAGTTCGTTTGTGAGAGCGTCTGGAATTAATCCATTAGGAACACCCTAGGTTTTTATACTTCGAGACAAGTCTAAACATATTGATCAGGGTTCAAAAAAACTGATTACAACAAGATTGAAATTATTAATGCTTAGACTACGAACATGTAGCTAAATCGATTGTGTCATGAGGTCTAAATTGAACTTAAAAGCATTCAATGAAAATGAAATTAAAATGGTACAGAAAATTACTTGGATCAATTATATTCATCAATAATGGATTGATACGATTTAGTTTCAGTTGACTTAAAATAAATTTGGGTAAATGCTGCATCAAATTAATAAGCAAGTGAATAACTGTACTCAAAAGGGAAGGTGTACAAATGCATGGAATGTGCGATGCTGACGAAGTATTAGATATAGCATTATTTGGAAAATTAACAGATTGACTTGTGCCAGTTGTTTCTGTAGTTGTTATCGTTGAAGTAACCGCCTCCTGTATGTTATTAAGTGTTGTTGCAGTTTTCATCAATGTTGAAGATTGCAGATTAGTTAAATTAGTACCAGTTAAAGTCTAAGCATACAGTAAAACAGATGGATCAAGAGATATAATTTATTATTATCCAGTTGGATTTTTCTCCAAAAAAAATATAAATAAAATTTAAAAAAAGAAAAATGCATATGTAAACACCAATTAAAACTAACGCATCTCTAACTTAAATAAAAATGAATAAACTGATTCTCAATACTTATAGTTCAAGATCCAGATATTTTGATCATTTGAAACTTCATAAATAACATTGTGTCTTGGACAAGCATATTAGTTGAAAAAAGTTTTATATTTAGAATTACTAAAACAAAACACCGCAAAGGAAAATACATTATGTTCACTAAATAATTGAATGATTACAATTCAAAGGACAGATACCTCAATTTGATGAATGATCCATATTATCATACTTTTATAATACTCTTGGAGTTTTTTTCCCTGTATAACCCACTGGTCACGGCTTCTCATCAGAAATCGCAGAACTTTCTCACGAAGCTAGTCACTAGTGAGCACATGGTGAGCAAAATGGTAACTAACAATCCATGTCGGGTACAAACAGGTGTCTACCTCAGTACAATAGAAGATCGTCGCGCAATCTCGTGGATTGGTTGGGGTTAGACATTAAAGCGATTGGATGCCGGCTCAGTTTTCCAGTAGGTTAAGCGTTCGCGTGCGAGGCTGAAGGTCCTGAGTTCGAATCCCGCTAGCGGGATCGTAGACGTGCACTGCTGAGGAGTCTCACAATAGGACGAAACGGCCGTCCAGTGCTTCCAGGTTTTCAATGGTGGTCTAACATCAATCGGTTCATGATCTCAATAAAAAATAATGAAAGTGAATTGATTTGGAAGAAAAACGACAAATTCAAGTAATTCATAAAACATTTCATTTCCAACCTTTTCAATATTGCTTTGAGATGGCATGGTAAGTCGTTGCCATTGAGACAAACTGAACATTGTTTGAGGTAAATGTGAAATAACCAAACGACAAAGATAGTTAAAGAAGTCTTTCGAAACTAATAATTGGTGTAATGCAGGTAACCCGATGAGGTAAAACTGAAAATTAATTTTGAAAAAATACAACAAGTTAGAAATGGGAAAATACTAATTGCATGACTTGTGCATTCTCTTAATTTCACATACTAATGTGATCATAATAAGGCATTTTATTCTTCAAATACAAACTTTTGCACTCCGCTTTTAAACACTGTTTGCTTTAGTGTTAGTGATATTATCTAATCACCCAAACTTCAATAAGTGAAATTCTGTATTGAGCTCATGACTTATGGGGCTAGACATAAAATTCCTTAACTGATGCTTCAAAAGAATATCATATAGAATAGAATCAAATAATTAGATATATGAATGAAAAGTATGGGTTTCAATTTTTGAATAACCCAAATTAGTAACAAAATAAAAGTTAGTGGCATATGATCAAAATCATACTAAAAGGATATTAATTTGGATTTTTTATCACGCTTTCATATGTAACGCTAGTTACCATTACAAAGATTCATCACGTAAACAAACTGATATCAGGTAACATAAAAAAGTAATTGAGTATTAAATTGAAACAAATTCAAGCTGAGTTATAACTAACTAGATAATCTAGGCAGCTTAGGACTTTGTTAAACTACGGCATATACATATAAAGTAGATTAAACATATTTTTCTTAACCATTATTGGCGGTGACTACCTTCGAATTGATCAGTCATTTCAAAAACTAAATAAATTAAACGATTAGGTTGATACTTAAGAAGCTAGTATTTGAAAAACATTACCATCAGTTTAAAAGTCATTTACAACCCGATAATACTCGATAACAGATTTATACTGGTATAAAAGTTCATAAAGTGACTTTTTCACTTAAATTCAAACTGATTTAAATAAAAGACTGTCACATTTCATGAGTGGCTTTAACCGATGAACCGAACTTACGAACAACGTCGATCTGTTTACGTACAATCTAATAAGTTTCGCTTTGAAACACAAAATATCAAGCGTTCTTACCTAAAGTGAGTTAACAGTAAAATTTAAATTCAAAGATTATCACATGTCTTTCATTTTGATTAAATAAGAAATAGGAAACAATGACTTAATGCGACAATTCACAAACAAATTTGAATAGGACATTCAACTTACATTGGTATTAAGATCTGAGTAAACAGGCATAGTAATATTCTTTGGTGGTTTTGAAACACGCACTGGTATGAATTGCATTTGATGATCTACCAAAACACAAGTAAACTCATATCAGAATACAAAATACATACCTATACTGCTCATCATGTTCTCTGGAGTAAACAATTCATCTGTCCATGGTTTTAAAACATCCATAAGCTGTGTAATGTTATCTCTTAGCTGTTGAGAAGATTGATC